ACAACTGGCGCAAAGTTAAATCTTTTACCAACTATATTAAATTAAATAAAGAATATAATCCAAATGATATTATCTCTTTAGCTTTTGTACAATAAAACATAAATATATATCTTTGTATTCCTATTGAAGGATTTCCCTATTCCAATCTGAATGGCTTTAATTTTCTTATATGAAACTTTTATATCGTAACTCAGTTCAAATACATTTATTTTGCCAACCAAAGTAGTAGTTATATAATTCTCCTTCAAAATATTCAAAACGTTATCATAAAATCGTATTACCTTGTCCATTCAAATGTTATTACAAAAAATTAAACAAGTAAACATTTGACACTGCTAGATCGAATAAAAAAACTTACTCAATAAGAGTAAGATTGTAGTATACACGCTTATTAAACGTAAGTACAGTATAAAACTAGTACGTATATAGGTATATAAGGGGGGGATCCCGTTTGCCTACAAATCGATTGCCTACAGTATCGTTTGACTATATCACTTTTGTCGATAGTTCGTTTGCACACAAAAATTATTGCCTACATTTCGATTGCCTACATGCACTTTTGCACACAAATAAAAATTTTAGAAACGGAGTTACTTTTGCCTACATATATTATTACATACATGTATTATTGCCTACAAGTATTATTGCCTACAACTCGATTGCCTACATATATTATTGCCTACAGCTCACAACCTTCCACGCAAAATGAGAACCATCTTGCACCAAAAAATGAGGGTTGGTTAGGGTTAGATTTGTTTAGAAAAATATTCCTAGCGGACACTGTCTACGCTGACACCCCATTATTCACACGACATATTTCTTAAAAATCAAAAGAAATTCCATTTCTAAAATTTTTATTTGTGTGCAAAAGTGCATGTAGGTAATCGAACTGTAAGCAATAATTTTTATGTGCAAATGAACTATCGGCAAAAGTAATGTAGGCAAACGATACTGTAGGCAATTGATTTGTAGGCAAAAACAACCATCTCGTATATAAGCTAAACTGTTCTTATACAATGTAATATGCGTGTATAATAATTGTTTTTACTACGTATAAGCAATGTGAAATGTTTTGTATGTCAAGAAATAGTTAATGAAGACGTAGAATGTCATGTACGTATATATGCGAAAAAAGATAGTATAATGTTCCACTTAAATAAATGCTTTTTTAATGCATTTAATAATTTGCGAAAAGTATCCCTTTAAATAAATTAAATTAAGAATTAAATACGAGTAAGTATGTTTATGATTTAATAAGTATGTTTTACTTTCTAAATACGTTAATAAAAGATTGAGCATATACGAGCATATACTCGTATTACATCTATATGCTTTCACCGTAGTGATGTTTGATTGAATAGTAAACGTATTTTCTGTTTCACACATTGGGCACAATTAATTTAAGATTTATTGAAAACGCTTTTTATTTATGAAATAATAAGCATTTAAAAAACGTTTGGAGAATATAATTAAAATCCAGATATGATTAAATTAAATGATCATACACCTAGATTTTAATCATATCCCACAAACATTTTTTAAATATTTTTCATTTTAAAAACAAAATACGTTTTCAACAAACTTTAAATTAATTACGATGTGTCAAGTAGAAAATACATTTATTATTCAGTCAAACATCACCGCGATGAAAGCATACAAATATATTTTTCAATTTTATATACGAGTATACAAGAAAAATTTTAATATTTTAAAATTTATATGGATCTCTGTTATAATTTTTGTAAATATTATAATGAACATTATTCCTGTTGTCTGTTGTCCTGTTGTCTTAAATTACAGCAACGAAAAGAAAAGAGAAAAAAGATGAATAGGTATTTTCTGCTTAATCTGTTACTAATTGATTGCATTGACATTGACGATTGTGCTTGTGTGAGACATTTTGTAGACTTGTGCATCGACAACCTTTTCTCAGTGAGAAATGATAATGGAATCGATGTCGAATCGACGTCAATTCGATGATGTTGACATCGAATCGACATCGATTCGATGTCGATTTCATTGTCATTTCTCACGGAGTTGGAACCAACAATTATTTACATCGCTAGTGCGACGAAGAAAGATCTGTATATATATTATTTTATTTATAAAATTTCAGAATATCAGTTATATTATAGTGAGTGTATTCAGCAGAAAATGAAACTGTGCAACTGATGTAAAATTCTTTATTGTCAATGGATTATGCGAGTACATTCAGATTCAAGAAAGTTTAAGAGTCAATCATATTAAGCATCTTACAATGGTTGCAGATTTGCTTTTTCTGCTGAATGTAACCATTGTTAAATTATTTCGTTTGCTTTGTTTTGATAAATATTCGAGGCAAACAGTTGCAAAATTAATAGAAAATGTGATATCAATTAGCGATTTCGTAGTGCTAGAATTTTTTAAATGACTTATAAAATTGATTTGTTAAAGATTTTTATAGAATTCGTGAAGAAAAATTAAAATGATAAAAACGCAATGTTTAGATTATTTATTGTAC